CAAAGAAAAAATGTTTGCCTGGAGCAGTTTGCAGGAGAAGTTTTCTGAGGCATGAATTAGTTAAAACCAGTTTGGTGTTTTATTTTGTGCTTATTATCATTCTAAAGAATATTTTAAATAAGTAGAAAGCAGACTTCAGGATATTTAGCAGATCATACGTAAATATGATTCTTACTGTGTATAAAATATATTCAGCTATGCCAGTGATATTTCATACAACATAAGCAGTTTTTTCCACTCATCCTTCAAAGAAAAACTTTCCTGAACCAAAGTCTACTTCCCGCATTTTGGGTTTGAAATAGGGAGCAGTTTTTTCCACTCATCCTTCAAAGACAAACTTTCCTGAACCAAAGTCTACTTACCGCATTTTGGGTTTGAAATAGGGGCTTGAATTAATACTTTTAAAAAAACATTGATTGCTAATACAGCATTAGAGAGCAGAAGTAGAGAAAGTCTTGAAAGCGAAATTAAAAAAAGATCTGGATTCCTGTTTCCTCCAGAATTCAGTGCTCTAAATGTGGTATCTGAGCAAACATAAGCTCTTGACCTCAAATCTATATTCTTCTCCGAGGTTCGTCCACCAGGATAAGGACTGCTGTGTAGCGGTTAAATACAAAACAAACCTGAAATTGGTACCTTCTGAGGTTTGGTTCTGACCAACCTTTGAAACAAGATTGCTTTCAGTCAATCGGTTATTTCAGCACTTGACATCACCCCCACATAAAACAAGGCAAATGGCCAATTAGCTAACTGGAAGTTTTCCAGTTCAAAATGGTGCCAAAATGAATGAAGATGAAGTGGAGTAGAGAAAAAAAAAAAAAGTTTAAATTGGCTGAACAGTCAGCTCTCTATGGGAAGCTGAAAATAGAAATCAGTTCATGGAACTCAGGAGCTTCACTATCTTCTATTTGGGGAAGATCAAACTTCGGCATTTGCAAGTTAAACAGGGATCCCCAAGGCTTCTAGAGAGCACTTTATAAAAAGAGGTTTTATACAGGACCTGTATATTTTGCAAATAAAACTGTAGCACATTAAATTCTAATCACATTCTATTCATAGCATCTGAAATCAGAGTATAAATTTGCTTCCTACGGATAATTATCTGGACTGGAGTTTTAATCTCATATGTATGCCATTACCCCTAAGCAAACATGGATACATTTTGCCTTTTCTTTTCAGCAGCATTCAGCTATTTTGACATTTTAAGTGGCTATGAGTTGGTTTTAAATAAAGACAGCCTAAAGAAATCAGATGATATGTTAAGCAGTAGTACTTGAAGAGAGAAAGAAAAGAACACAGCCTTGTAGAATAAACTCTTTGCTTGGGAAATAACGTGCAAATTCCAGTAACAAAAGTAGTTCATCATGTCAGCTTTGTAAATACAAGTTCTATAAAAGTCAATGCTGCTCTAAATACATCTATCAGACCTCTCATACAAGCTGTTAAGCTACATCAGAAATGAATGCAAACATTCTGAATAGGAAAATTTCCCCTGCAGAAAACTTCCCATTATTATAAAACTGTTAACTATGCTAAGCAACAGCACTTTAGCCTTCTGTCAATAACAAAACAAACAGGACAGTAGAGTTCTAGTTAGATATACCACGATTTACCTTCTAAACAGTAGTATACTACAACTTTATAAAAATTTCACCAACGTCATGAAACAAAGATTACAAACCTTTTGTGAAAAACCAAAGGCAAAATACAATTGTGATTTATCTAAATTCCCATCATCACCAAAAAGCAGAATAACGAACTTTAAATATTACGATGCTATTTTTCATGACAACATTATTATAAAATTTTGGCTATCAGGTTCATTATCAGGAGCATCTGCTGACAAGCAAATTAGCTCTGCATTTCAAAGTAGCTAGCTAATGCAAAGGCCCTTTACTTCCAGAGAAACCCCAGCAGTGCATTGCAGAACAGTTTTTTTATGGGTGTCTAATGATGCAGATCGATAGTACCAACAATTTTCACTATTCCTCAAAATATAATGTTTCTAGTGACCTCACTTTAAAAAAAAAGGTATTCTGGTTAAAAAGCAGCCTCCTGTGTTTTTATGACTTTTATGAACTGTCAAAAGGACCATGTATGCAGAAAGATCATGTTTTGGCACTGACACAGCTGGTTGTAAGGGAAAATACCATCACTCTGTTGTTTGTGAAAGAGACTCAATTTGACCTCACCAAACTTTAGAACCACGAAAGATAAGAAGCTGCATGAGTCTAATTTAAACACTTCAGATCCGTGTTTGAAAATCACTGATATTCTAACATACAACCAGACACAATGTACCTACTGGTATCTACTGCATCACGAGACTGACCCTAGCAAGGAGCTGAACTTAGGAACAATCTTTAACTGCAGAGCTGTTACTGAAATGATTAGTTACAACAGCTCTGAGCAGGCAGATCTCTTCACCAGTGTGGATCTGTGTAAGATCAGGCCCTGAACACATTTCTTCCCTTCATCTGGCATCAACCTCAGGAAAAAACACGCTTCCCTCACCCCAGCCCACTCCCCATGTCAGTGGACACTAAGCATGTGTCGCCTCACTTTGGGAGAGTATTGCATTATTTAACTTCATTACTGTTTGCTGAATGGTTTCCAACCAGTTCTCACCTTGGAAAAAACTTTTAAGTGCATTAATATGGCACATGCTTCTACTCCACCATATGTGAATCGTGTGAATCAGTTGGGGGACATTACAGAAGGCCTTGTCTCCCCTGCAGAACAGTGTCTACTCCCTCTCTCCGTATTGTTTAATCCTCCAGAATTATCTCTGACCTTTCTGCTCAGCCTGGTGGAACTTGGGCCATAGCCCTGGCAAAGGCACCCCTGAATGTTCAACCACAGTCGCTGCAGCACTTCAAAGGCAGCTACCACAGCTAAGGATTTAGACAGCAGCTGGAATCCGAAGGCTCAAGGTGAGGTCCCCAGGGCTGAGCAAAGAGAGCAGAGCTCATTTGTAAGGATTAAAATGTGGACAAG